ACATCTTGTTGTTGTCGACCACTAAGGAAGCCGAAGAACATGTGGTTGCAACTTTGTCGTCTGTAGTGCCTGTGAAGACAACTGGAGAGATCGGAGAAGAGGGAGGATCCCTGACCTTTATTGGTCGTGTCATCAAAAGAGAAAGAGATTCCTCTGAGATCACTCTGGGTGTCGATCCACATTATCTTGACTCTACGTTTCTGGATTACGGTGTTACCCGTGGGTCTGAGAATGTTCCTGACATCTCAGGACATCTTGAGAAAACACTCACGGATAGCAACTTTCAGAAACCTTTGTCAGATGAAGCATACTCACGCTTCAGGAAGGCGTTGGGAAAATTGCTTTGGTTGTCACAGGTGCGTCATGACTTGAAGACATGGATGTCTGTTCTTGGGACACAGCAAGCGAAACCGATGCACGGAACTGAACAAGCATTGAAAGCAGTCTTGAGATTCTTGTATGTTGACATGCATGCATGCTTGTGTTTACCGAGCAGAGATGAGACCATCATGAGTCAGGTTGATGATACTCAACTAAGATCAGTCCATCTTCACTCTTTCAGCGACGCTTCACATGCGCCGTATCGTTTCAACAACCGCAAAGGTGTTAGCGGTGGAGCTGTTTTCTTTGAGAGGTCTTTGGTAAGGTCTCTGAGCCGACAACAGCAAGCTTTGAGTCTGAGTTCATGTGAGGCAGAACTTTATGGTTTACAATCAGTGTGTCAGGAAAGTGTTGCGTTTGGAAGACTGGTTCACCGTCTTCTTTTTGCACTTCATGAGATCGATGAGCCAGAAGAAGTTGTGATTTGGCTGGAGAGCGATTCAAGCTCCGCCTTGCAACTTGTGAGATCCATGGATGTGCCACGGCGTTCACGACACATTGAAATAAGATTGCATTGGTTACGAGAGCAGATGAGAGAGGGTTTGTTGAAATTGAGACACAGGAGTGGTGTTGAAAATCCAGCAGATCTTTTCACTAAATGCTTGAGTGCCAAAGCTTTCTACAAACACCGCTATGCTCTTGGGATTGTGGTTCCAGATGGTTTGACAGCTGAGTTAGCAGAACTTCGTGAGTTGAGTGTGTTGCAGCAAGTGTTGACTCAGGGTTCTTCAATTGCGATTGTGGAACTGTGTTGTTCGGAACATTCGAACTTGAGAAAGGTCTGTGAAGTTTCAAAGGTCCCATACATTGGTGTAGTTGCTAAGGTGCAGAGTTCTGGAACGTTGAGTCGTGTAGCTGTTTGCATCCGACAGGGAAGAATTCGTCATGTCCACCTTGGGTGCATATTCATGCATCGACTCCTTGTGGAAGTGGAAGCCCGCTTCGCAATTTCAATCCGGACTCAGTCACTGAAAAGGACCAGGAATGGGATGAGATCATCAACGCGATTGGTGGTTACTTCAAACATGCAGACTCATGTTCGTTTGAGCTTCCAGAACGAAATACCATTTGGTCCCGACCTGAGACAGTGAATCTTTTGCAGAGTTTTGACATGAGGCATGAGGCTTTGGTGAGGTTGTGCAAGACTGGATGTCAGAACAAGGATGGTATTCCGATTGGAAAGACATTGAAGTTTGTTTCCAATTCAGCCTGGTTTGCACTAAATCTTCATTCCAAACTTTCTACATGCACATGTCAGACACATGCAGAACTTTATCAAATCAACTATACTGAAACAGCGTTTTACAACCGAAAGTTGGCAAGATACATTTTGATTGCCGTCAAACATGCTTCGAAGAAGAGTTGAGTTTGCGTTTAAAAGGGGGACCCTGTGACAGAGAGAGAGACAGAAGTTGGATCCACGTTTCGTTTCATTCCGTTTCATTTCTGTTTGCACGTTGTTTTCAAACAAACGTTGCCAAAGACAAACAGGAGTTTTTCACCATGTTTCATTCTGTGCAGAGTTTTATTGCGCGGTGCTGTAAGATGCAGTGTGTTCGCGCAGCGCAGAACAATCTGAAAGGCCACTGATCATATCACAACAATTGTGATGGCGGTTCGACACTTCGTTTCACGTTCTAGGTTGATTGCTCCTAAGAGTTTAGCCACAGTCTAGTGCTTTTTCACTACCGGACGCGGTTTGGTTTGTAGCCATGGCCAAGTCTGGATGGACAGATGAGGATGAGAAGGCTTTGCTTGCTCTTCTTCAGAAGAAGTGGAACAGTGGAAATTCAGGGTCAGGCTATGCAGCCGGATCCAGTGTTTTGACTCCTTTGGAGAGTCAAGGAGCAATGACAGATGGAAGCAAGCGACTTCGTGAGGCTCTGGATGATGATGAATTCGATTTGATTTCTTCGGCAGCTGAACCTTTGAGTGCGCAGTTGCCTGTGATGCCTATCCCAATCTTTCCTGGGATTGCCGACAAGGTCCTTGATCAGCTTACTGCTGATTTGGTGCCTGAAGGCATGAGTTTTCGAGATTGGAGCAGAACGAAGTTTGCGTTTGGGAAGTTTGCCAATGAAGGCAAAACATACCGTGAGGTATATGTCGATGATGAGATGGCAGGATATTGCAAATGGAGTATGAATCACCTGGGAAACAAGAGTACAAGTCCAATTGCAAAGGATTGGTATTCTTTTCTCTGCGCATGCAAGGTTGTGGAGGACTCTGGAAAGGTTGGAAAGCCAAAGGGTTGCTTCACTGGAACTTCAGTGCAGAGGCAGCTGGGTGATTGAGAATATCTTCATTGATGCAAAGGCAAGAAAAGACTATGAGCTGGTTGTTCATTGGATGGTGGACAACGGGACAATTCGTACTATATGTATTGACCTGTCGAGCTTGGGCTATATGTGCTGAAGCTTGGATGAGTTACAGCTATACATGGAATGGAGTTCATCTCAAAAGGGGGTGTGAAAATTTGACATCTGTGGTGAGATGAATCCATTGGTCTTTTCTGCATTGGAAGAAGTGAATTTGATTTTCATCTTGATGATGAGCTCAACCGTGATGGTTGACATCGTATTTGCACGTTTCATGTTTTGCACGTTTTATTGGAGATGACGAAACCCAACAACGATATACTTTTCGTCTTCTTTGAGTACTTTGATTGCACGGAGAACATCGTGAGGATTTGAATTTGTATAGTGACATGGAAAATCAAACCATTTTCCATACCTTTTGCATTAGTTTTCGTCGACGAAGACCACGAAGTGCACGAAGGAATCGTGAGAAGATCGTAGAATTCATTTTGTGACTTCGGAAGAAGGAACTTTGTTTGACATTGATTGGAGAAGAGTAGTGTGTTTTGTCTCTCAATGATGATAGCGAGAGCAACGTTCTGAAAGGCATTCAGAACTGGAGTTGCTAACAGATCTGAGGGAGACATCATGAATCATGTTTTGGTGCTTGAAATGTTTCAACAGTTTTCAAACACTCAAACTTATTTAAACAAACAAACCATGTCTTGATGTAAAGACTTTTTGTGAGGACATGTGTTTTTGATCGCTTTTGTGAAGTTAGCAGAAAGATGCTGACTGGCGACTCCGCATCATTTTGTGTCAAGGCGTGACACACCAACAAGAACCATAGCGACATGAGCAAGACATCTTTCTCCTTGTGCTTGTGTGTTTGGTAAAAGTGGCTGAGCTCTGGGAGTGGTTGACTTGGTAGCGTGGACGGTTCTAAGAGTTAAGGACGACGTCCTGGACGCTGACCCAAGGGTTTCGAAGGTTGCGGTACCTTCTGCACGCGACGGCGCAGCTCCTCGTCATGTGTAATCGCACGGCAGTGCACACACAATTGTTGCAGCACGGCTTCAAGGCGGCGTGGTTTGGAGGTCTGCGGATTGCCACCACCTCATCAGCAGCAGGAGCCACGGCACGAATGGCAGTAGTAGTCCAAACAGGATGTGGTTTCCTCAGTGAGGAACGGCGAGGAGCAACGGCAGAAGACAAAGAGGATTGCTTTGGACGAGCCACTGTTGCGCTCACTCGCGCTATCCAGCATACGTATATTGTCTCCCCATTGACATGGCCGCGCTGATCGGGATGGCGCAGACACTTGCAGTGTACCACTACGGGTATTATACCCTTAAAGATCGCACTGTCCAGTTCCACGAGCCCAAGCACGTACCATCTGATGCAGAGGCGGTCCTTGAGTGGGGTCTAAACACACCGTTCAGCTCTCAAGACAAACCGCCTCTTGCCATTGCTATGGTAGTGACCGTGAATGGCGTACGATCCCTGAAAAGGTTTCGACTAGTCATTGCACAGAAATCAAAGCTTCGGCTCGCACAGAAAGTCACTGCAGCATTAGCTTCGCACAGTCGTGAGCACCGTCTCACGGCAAGCAGTTTCTTTCCGTGCTCCACAGATAGAGAATATCTCTACGGCTATGCCGGCGATGGATATCGTTCACCGCTTTGGTTGTATTTTTTGTTCCCCTTGTTCGGGGTTTTGTTTTGCATCTAGGGTTTTGGTTATTGTGTTGGTGAGGTGGCCTTCCTACCATCAGCCAGCAATCATGCCAAACCATGATCATTAAGAGTGTGGGCTATTCAAGACCACACAGCCTTGAACACACAACTGTGTTGCTCGACAACAAACTGTGTTTGCTGAGCAGATTTTGCTTGACGCAGTCAACAACAACTATGTTTGCTGAGCAGGCTGCGCTTGATGCAACTAGCAACAACTGATGTTTGCTGAGTGCTTGAGCAGTTAGGGTATGGGACTAGGTGCTTACTGGCCATAGCAATGTGTTTTATATATATATATATCGTAATATATATGCACATGTGCATGATATTCTCCAAGAACTCTAAATGTCATGAAGCAGTTCTGCTTGATCAACCCTCATGCCCAAAAAAAATGACGAAGATTATGCCGCACAAGACTACACCCCCAAAAAATGAATGGGTTTAGGGGGTCCTTAACCAACAGTTTTTTTCCATACGCCAGCTGTGGCCCATGATCTCCACGGGAATTTCCCCCCACCAGACCGTGTAGCAAAATTGCCCGCTGACATTTTTTCGCGACCCTCCAGCGTGTATGTTTGATCTGTTGCTAGCTCAAGCAGAAAAGAAACACAGCCTTTTGCTGCTTCCAAACATCAAAAACATCAAGTTGAGCACCCCAGGTGTGCCCAGGGCAGGCTTCGAAACACGCGCTCGAAACAAAAAACACATTCTGCTCGTAGCAACAAACAGTTTTGTCACCCAAAAACAAAACATGATAGTCATAGAGCCAACGCATCAAGGCTTTGATGCTGTCATCAGCGTCTTCTACTGGGTTCCATTCAATGGAAGGGTCGGCCAAGTTGACTTCGACAGCGGTACTCTCAGGAATGCAGGCAAACATGTAGAGGTGTTCTGGCAAAATGCCATCAGCCCATTGCATTCCTTGGGCAAGGGGTGCACAAATCGTGTTTGTGCTATTTTTCTAAAACACGTTTTCAACAATGCATGCAAGAATCCAACAAACTGCTTCGCCCGTGATTCCATTTTTGCCCAACAAAGTTGGACTTTTGAACCCCTAAATCTCGCGAATGCCAAGGGTTGCGTGAAAAGAAAATGAACCAGAATGTTTTGTAAGACATCTCGCAGTTTGCATTCAGTTTTCATCAATCCACTTAGCGGTGGCCATCGAAAAAAACCAATCAGAAAACATACGTAGCCAAAGAACCAAATAAGGCACAAAAGGGGCTTATATAGGTTTTGGAAGTAACTTTTTGGGGGTTGGCATGATGACTGGGTGCACATTCCTTTCGTTGAAAATAAATACCAATTAGTTAATCGTTTGAATGTCACTGGATTATGGATAGTACCCCAAATACAGTTTGATCTGAATATGTCCACTAACAATCTGCTAAGTGGGGTTTGCACCCCAAGCTGGCTGATGGGTTTGACCCTTTTTTTCTCCCCGCTAGGTAAGAGCCGTAAGATTTCAAGGCAACGAGTATTGCCAGTGCCACGCAAAACTGGAGCTAGGGATTTGAACTGAAGGTTGCTATCGGTTTTTGGTACCAAAACTGTTTCAACACATGAAACCATTTGGTGAGAAAATACTTTTACTTCCTCAACCTTCAGCCTTCCTCCACATCATCCACTTCATTTTCTTCTTCTTCCCCTTCTAACAAATCCATCGCCTCATCTTCGCCGGCTTCGCCGGCTTCGCCTGCTTCTTCTCCTGAAGCCTTAGGGAGCTTCTCGATGGCCGCCTGGATCATGCTGTCCTGCCGGGCAGGGAGCATGTGTAAATTGTGGGAACACCGAGCATGGGTATAGATCATTTTTGGGGCATGAGCGATGTATTTGTTTTTGAAAGCTAAACTAAACCATCCATGAGGTCCAAAATAGAAAAATTGAGCAAACCCAAATGAGATGACCTGAAAATCATAGGTTTGCTGTGTGCACCACATGTGAAAACAAGTGGGACATGGAGCACCCCTGATGATATATATATATATACATATGTATGCGCTTGTGTCTTATTCTATTATATGTGAAAAAACATATCCTGTATGTGTTGCATATTAAGTCTTCGTTTTTTGGAGATCTGGAAAAAATATATATATAAAAACATGCATGCATGCATGCATGTACGAATGAATGTATGAATGAATGCATGAATGTATGTATGTATGTGTATGTATATGCATATGTATATGTATGTGTGTGTGTATATGATACGTTTTGTATATGTAGATATATTTTTTAAGTATGTATATGTGTAAGTATATGTATAAGTATATGTATATGCATATGTATATGTGTATGTGTTTATGTATATGTATACGTCTACGTATACGTACATGTATATGTATATGTATATGTATATGTATGTATATGTACTGGCCCCATTGAAAATGGTGTTGTTGATGAGATTTGCCCTCTAGATATACTTGTAGCTTCATCTATCTTGACATATTGGTTTGTCTGAAGGTCATGTATACCCCCAACTATTGGTTGAAGTTTGATGGAATTGGGAGTATACCACCCGATACATAGGCCTTCAAACTTTGAGCAGAAGGCACATCGCCCTTGGATCGCCGCAGCTCATCTCGAATGGCCACCTGAGCGTGGCAGGGAACAATCATTGACCTGGCAGGGGCTCACAGGATATTATTCTTTTGGAAAACAGACATATCGCCGTAAAAACAAGGGGATCCCAAAAACACGGGGATAATGTACACATCTGGACCTATGTAGAACATGTAGAACATATGGATCACTGTAAGTATTTGGATACTTGATGCAAAGGGTTCAAAGCAACCATTGTCAGGCCGAACATGGGGCCCACAAAAAACACAGTGCAGTTCTAGATTGATACAAGGGGCTGCAATCTCTTCGCGGGTTTCCGGGCTCAATCCCTGGCCCTCATGAGCCCGAAACTCAGATGCCAGAATGCAAAGGCAGTCAACCAGATCAACTGGCTCTCTTTCATTTCTGAACATGAAACTGAATGATTGTTTGCTATGCATTATCCACTAGATGCGAGCTAGGAACGTACATCACTTCACGCTGCCCGACCACAAACCCATAGCGGTCATCCTTCTTGTAGTAGTTCTTGCGGATTGTCAAGGGCTTTTCCTTCCCGGTTCCCGTTCCCTCTGAGGCCGGTTTTCTCAGTGATGGCTTGCGCTTGGGGTCTGGGACCTTGGTATCAGTTCCTGCGGGCTCTCCTTCTCCATCAGGGGTGGCTTCAACAGAGCTAGCTGGGCGTTTCAAACCCTTTTTTTTTGTCTCTGGTTTGGCTTTCGGTTTGGCCTTACCAGCAGGTTTCTTTGGCACTGGGCTAGGCACACTTGACGTAGTATTTGGGGCATGGCCGCCATCATCACTCAATTCGTCGACCGCTTTCAAAACCATGGCACCCACAAACCCTAGAAATCCGTGCATTCTGCACTTTGATCTTGTAATGGGCTCTGTTGGATCGATGCTTCAATAAAGAACAACCCCAGTGAATCCATCATATTTGGCATGAATACCCATCAAATTGCAAAATGTTGTGTGGCTGATTTGGTTTTCCCATTTTTGGACATCGCTCAAAGTCAAAACTTGTGTGATCACTTCAAGGCAGCATTGGACACCCCTGTAAACAAGAATGTTGACACCAATGGTTCTCTGTTAAATATGGATACTGCTGAATTTGTGGCTATGTTAGATTATGATTGAAAAAAGGAAGCCCTCTAAGCCAGGCCTTGTTGTCACACTGAGACACGGCACTGGGTCCCTTCATTTCAGGGTCCTGGCCAACTACTTGATTTTCACAGCTTGACCCTTTTCTATGGTCAGGCTGCCCAAAAGATAAAACTTTGGTTTCACCGGCGTTGCCAAGGCCGGTGCCTCCTCCCCCACGGTGACCTTCAGTGCGGTTCCCATGCAGAGTTGATGGCATGACTGGATGTGGATAACCGGATACCCCAACAGGAATCAATTACTTTAACTCAGGTGAATTTTCCGGTTATGGTATCATTCAACATTGTATAGTTTTTAGAATGTATATGAACAATATTATAGGTGTAAGGTTATGGTATCATTCAACATTGTATAGTTTTTAGAATGTATATGGAACAATATAGGTGTAAGGTTATGGTATCATTCAACATTGTATAGTTTTTAGAATGTATATGGAACAGTGTGGGTGTGTTTTCAAAACTGTTTTCAGGAACCCCACCTCCCAAAGAAGATTGCACCATTCACATCGAGGGAGCTGTAAATACTTCTGGTGGAAGATAGCCCCAAGTTGTGCTGATCGAAGGTTGGCCCGATCAATCCCTCCTTCAAGTTCCTTTGGCCTGTATGCGTTGATCTTGTCTTTGGGGCAAATCTTGTACCTGTAGTGGAGCGCACGTTGCTGCCCATCCGGAAACGCCTTCAATCAGGGAGGATTGCATTTTATGAATTAAAACATGAACTGAATTCTATGAACACCCGAAACATGAGTTGGGGAGACTAGAAACGATTAGTGAGAGACCTTGCCTTGAGCATAGGCTGCATGTCATGGTCAACCAATCTCATTTCTGTGATTCCACGCTCTTTGGTGATGTTGCACATCAGCTCTGCGACGCTGGAAATGACCTTGGTGGTCTGCCCGTTCTCCGTTTTCACTAAGCTCACCAAGGATTTGTCATCACCCAAGCACCAAGGCAAGCTGTCGGTGGCTGCCGCGGCTGTAGCTGCAGGGCTCAGGTGTTACAATAAAATATTGCAATTCTGTGGGACAATCATGGCATCAAAGATTCAATGAATCGGCAATGAACCCAAATAATGAATTATCCCCACCTGTAGCTATTGTTGGGTACACCCTTGATGTAAGATGATGTAAAATGATCCTGCAATGGCTTCTTATGGGATTAGACGATTATTTAATGCAGTTTCCCATGCAAATTTTCTTATAGTGATTTGCCAGTATACAAACTTAATCATCTAGGAAACAAAACTTCATTTCCCCAAACAGGTAACACAGTTTGACATTTTTTGGAGAAGCCATGCCTGTGGGGATCTCAACATAGCTGCCAAGATTGAAGCCAAAGAGCTCACCAGCACTCAAGGTCACGGCGGCATCCCCCTTGTTCAGAATCCACATGTTTCCCAAAGTAGTGAAGCACACTCGAAGTTGGGGTTCTCTTGCCAGAACTGCACAGGCATCCACCCTGGGGTGGCAAACTTAATCACCAAAGAAAAGAAACACAACAAGGTAGAACAACAGTTTTGGTGGATACTGAACCCTTGTGGAAATACCCTTGATGGTATGGATGGGGACAATAAGGAAACAGAAAATAGATTTTTAACTACCATATTGAACCTAGCCACGAGTTCCCACCCTCGAAATCAGCAATGGAAATCCCAGTGTGTGACATGCGCTTCCGGAAATTCCACGGAAAATCGCCACACCATTCGGGGGAAGCGGAAGTGCGGGGACATTGTTGCCCTTCACTGGTACCAGGTGTTGCGGATGGGTTGCCCACTCCCTTCAAAGCGGTTTGGATCACCTGTTGCTCTTCCAATTCATCCGTCATCTTCTTCAAAGAGTCGCTGTGGGTATCCTTGAACTTTTCGGCGACCATGTCAGCAATCCTAAACTGATGTTCTGTTGAACTACCATTGAAAATGCACTTTTGGGCAGTAAATAAGACAATGCTCATGAAACAAGATTTCAACACCATGTTTTCTTTTCATTACCGAGAATCCCAAGAGTAGATGTTTCAAGATTGACGCAGAGAACTTCAAGGTTTGGTAGGTCTTCCTGGAACCTGGTGTTCTCACGAGACCGGGGCCCCGCTTCGTTGGATCGGTCCCACCATTGGCCCATTGCCCTGCCCACCAAGCATTCCTTCGCGGAGGTCAAATGAACCGAGTCATCGTTGTGGTACAGGGCAAGGAATCGCAAATCCAGATCAAGGTTGGTGCCCAAGAGGTTGTCTTTCTGGATTTCCCAACAGGCAGAACTCCATTCACAGAACCTGGAGACATGGAGCAATGGTAGAATAGCTTCTGGTAATGGGTTTTTATGCAGGGCTGACATGTTGTGACCCAATGTTTTTTTTGGGGGTTCAACATTTTCTTCAAAACATCACATTGAAAGTTAAGCCCCAACCTGGATGGTAAGAGGTCGACAACCAGGACTGGAAAGTTCAGACCCGAAGTCATCCCATCAAGCAGCTGGAGCAACACCGATTTGGTAGCCGCTACTCCTCTTTGCTGAACCTTTGCTGGGTTTTTACCAAAACTAAAACAATATCTGTTTTGGGGATTGCATAAGATGTTAAAACCCAAAACAATTGTCAATTGTTCATGGCTAGAAGAAGAACAGGTGTATTGTTTCAAGGTTCAAGGTACACGCCAGTGAGGCGCCAAAGGCTTCTCCGGTTCTGGGTTCACAAGCTCATTGACGCGAGCGCGCTCAACACCCGAAATAGAACCCAAAAGTGCCCGGCTCTTTGCCCAGACATTGGTGTTCGAAGCACCCTGCGACACCATAGCCGCAAGGCCTACATTGAGTGCTCATGGCAGATATACCATGTTGGTTGGGTAGGGCAACGTTCCCAAAGCTAAATTGCAACACAACTTGTTTATACTGTTTAACTGGTTTGACCAGCTTAATGAAAACCCAAGGGGCACTGTTGGCTTTTCTTTCGCCGGTCACCCCCGTGGGCGCTGTCTGCGAAATTCACTGCCACCTCGTACACATCCATGCACCTAAGGTGTACAAATTTGAATACAAAAGGCACATGGGAAAATATGCCTCGGAAGAAAAGCACCGTCACAGGAATCATTTTTTGTCAATCCAAGTATCGCTACAACTTTATCTTCCACCAACCGTCGGTTTTTCAAAACCGTGCACTTTGCAGTCGAAGAATGCCACTGTGGCAGCATAAACCAGCACACGGTGCGTGGGTTGCCGGAGGAAACACTTTGGCAAATCTGAACTGCTTCGTCCACTGCCATTGCACCTTAACAGAAGACTAGCTAGATTTGGCTGACAGAGTTGTCATACCAGGTTGATCATGGCTGCAAAACATTCTGAACTTGACATGCATGTCTAACCAATAGCAAAGGCACGCTGAGGCCACAATGTGCAATCGAATATCAAGACGGTCAGACTTAGTACAAACAAAAATGGATAGAGCTTCTGACAGGCAAGTAACAAGTATCACAATGCTTGAGGTTTGCCCTGGCACACAAGTGCACACAACCCTGGGAACACCAAGCAACCCATCGCTCCCCAATTGCTCTTGCATCTCCACAATGGGTGACAGCCCCATGATGAGGCTCTCATGAGCCAACAGCTTGTGCTTTTCCAGCAAAAGAGTTTCCACCCTTTCTTTCCCTTTCACATACCGGTCATTCAAGTACTTGAAGTCCATCATGGCCTGGAACCACACTGGGGGCATGACGTTCTTGGAATTTTCTTTTTCAAAAATGAACATGTTCCTGCAAACCCCCCTTCGATAAAGGCAGAAAGTTCAAAAACTTGTGTTTCATGCCCCCCCCAGTCAAGTGCCTGCTGCTGGCTGAACAAATCAAAAGTCTGAGCCCAATTGCTCAGCTTTTGAAGATCTTGCTGGAAATTGAGCTCCGTCTGGCCCCAGGTGGCATCGAGGAGCTGCTTTGATAGCCTGAGGCCGGTCGCTTGGGATTGGTGGTGGGCAAGGGCGACGGCAAGGTCAGAACTTGCAGGGTTTCGCAATACCAACAGTGCACAACAAGTCACTCAGCGTGTCTTTCTGTGTTCGCCTTGCTGACCTGCATCAGTTCAAGATCATCTCCAGTTTGCTTTATGATTGCCCAACCTCTTGGGGATTCACTTGGGGCCTCATATATCTTAAACCAATGATCTTGCAGCTGTGGGCAGGTTTAGTCCCCTGCTGGACGCTCACTGCAACGGGGTCTCCCGGCTGACTTGGGCTGGGCTTGCAATGGGATATATTGTGAGACATGATCCGGGAGAAAGAACCCACCTTTTAGACAGAACTGCATGTTTTATATATATATATACATATGATTCAATATATTCTAACATCATATGAAATAATGTGATATGCTTTGACTTGATAGATTATCAAGTAATACCTCATCAAATCAAATCAGTTCATTCAATATAGTCAGTAATTTATCATGGGAAATGATATGGTATGATCCGATTTCAAATATAGTATCATATCTTGTCATATCAAATCGTATATGTATGTTCAAACAGGGCCTCCACATTGTACTTCGAAAGGTGCACTTGGAATATGGCCACCCTGCTCACATCAAGAGGTGGAACGCTGTTGGTGATGATGGCCGTCAAATCGGCATCACCATGTCTGTGCATGAACCTCGGTTTCCATGGGGATTGAAGGTTCGACCCAAATCAAAAGCTACTTGGTTTGCGGACATTTTCAACATGGTAGCTGAAGACCGTTTGAGATAATTTGGAATCATTCTTGGATGTTCTCCAGCATGTAGGAATTCTATGTTGGAATTCACGGTTCTCAAGTTGGGACAGCATGGCCGAAGAGGATGTTGCATCAAGTTCAAGTCCCCAAAAATGGAACCCTGGAAAGCAGTTGGAACCTGTTCTATCCTTTGTTTTGGTGTCAATTCAACTTGTCTCATACCAAGAAAACTGGCTAAAATAGTTGGGAAGCATTGAATCTAAACCAATCATTCATTCCCTGCGTTGGGCCCCGCAGAAACAACAGCAGACTAGTGTCGCATTCTTAATGTCCTGCATGGTTCTCTCAAAGAAAGCTGCAGGGACAAGCTCCTGGTAGCGTTCTTTGGCTGCCAGGAATGCTGCGCACACTCGCTGGAGAGCTTCCTCAGAGGCAACTGGGTCAATCACTGTGGCTGCAGGTTGTCCCCCAAAAGAGATATGAAAAGAGAGGTGGCACAACATTGGGACCAACTCTGTTTCTAGGTTCGACATCTTTTCCATAGGCTTTTCGCATCTTGGGGCTCAGGGCAAGGTAATCCTTCTCCATTCTGTCGACTAGCAACAGAAGCACATCCTCCCGATTAGTCAAAGGTGTGGCCCAAGGTTGCAAATGTCCAGATCCCGTCGTGTGATTCATGTTGAACCAGTTGTTCGCCAACGGTTCATGGGTGATGAACTTCGGCATCGTGTGTTGACTGCGCGCAAGGTGTGTAAATTCAATTTGATTAAGTCAAAACCCTTCAAAAAGTTGTTTCTAGTGCCAAGTTGAACCGAAAATGTGGCAACACTCACCACACACACATCACAGAGCCTCACCAGCTTTGTCAACCGTGTTTTCACTGAAGGTGGGACATGGCGAAGCAGATTAACTGCAGCAGCACTCTCCGTAGCTCCCAATTGATAGGCAGCTGCAAACTGAGAAACAGATTCATAGGCCTTGCATGACCAAAACGGGTGGATGTCCAAAGCAAGGCTGAGAAACAAACACAAAAGAATATGAGGGACAGAATATACACCTACACACGAAAGCAATCGACAGCATTCACAGCAAACAAGCCTGGAGAGAAGCAATGGAATGCTCTTTGCTCATCCCAGTTCGACAGAGAAATTCCAGTTGAAACACTAGGTTGAAGCAATTTGGGCGCCGGCGCACGCTGGCACCCAAAGTCACACCTGCAAAGAGAAACACATCTCTTTACCCTTGAACTTTGACCACGAGAAACACATATTAATATCCAAGGTAGAACTCATGGATCTCTTTTGCAATAATTTTCAAACACCAGTTTTGCGACAGAACTGCCTAAGTTGGTGCTGACAACTTGGGCCGAATCTCCCTCCACAATGGTCACAAACACCGTGGAAAACGACCTGGGGCTGTGTTCGGTGGAATTTGCAAACTTAATCTGCCAATGTTTCCACAGTAGGACGAATACTCATTCCAATTGATTGCATTATGTGCTTTTTCGGGGGCGCCCTTTCTTTTTAATTTCGGGGCCCAAGCTTGTAGAAAAAAGGGCACCCCAAAAAAGAGCATATAATGTCTCTGAACTTAGGCTGAACTGAGTCTAGAAACTCCTTGGTCGCCTTTGGCATAGCCTGTTCAAATCTGTTCAGTCGAATATGAACATACTGTACAAGTGTCAATCAACATGTTCAATGATTACTTGGTAGAAGCCACCCCTGCCTCGTACAGGGCCGGGTCTCTCCAAGCAGCGTACAGCACCCCAAGCGCTGAAAGACTCCTGTTCCATCCTTTCACCATAAACAGCCGTTCAGGTGGCAGGAAAGTAGGGTCCACCGAAATGTCTGAGGCTTTCAGGTCACTCAATGGCGCCGTAGACCAGGAAGACTTCATGTATGCAGCACAGAGTTTCTCACACCCAGGCAGATCAGGTGAGGTAGCAAATCCATTCAAAAGGACTAATTGCATCAATTGCTTCTGCATGTCCTTAAGACATCAAGACATGGATGTTTTGGAATCCACATATCAATATCTCAAAAAAAACAAAGGGTGAATCTTCGGCTAAGCCAAAAGCACATGGTCGGATGTGCCACGGAGGCCATAGTCTTGTCGATGGGGAAGGTGCCATGGGCGAACTTGGATGGGACCAGGGCTGCCAATGTCCTTTACCTTCGCATAGGTCCTAACGCAAAAGAATCAAGATGAATCAGTCTTTGAGCAGGCTGTTGTTTCTAGAAGTCTGGTCACTATACTTGTCTGAGTGTTGCACACCGAGGGGTCCGCAGGGAAGTTCTGTTCAATCCACATGTAGAACTCGATCGCATGGGCCTTTTCCCCAAAATCAAAAAATCAGTGACCTGCAATTTGGGTTCTGTGTTGAAGACATGCCAAGAAGTAGAGCAGTTTCAGCCTGGTCTTGAAATTTCTCTTCCAAGAACTGATCGATGCACAGGTTGTGGTCTCCGATGTTCGAGCTCCTAAGAAAATAAGTTCATGTTTGGTGGTTGAAACTTCTTTGATAACACAATTATATAATTGCACCAAAGGAACAGCCACTTGTCAAAGAGGGCCATGTGGGGCAACCGCAAGTTGTCAGGGGAAATTGCTGGCAGATCTGATGTTCCTTTCTTGGGCTTCTTGGTGCTCCCCCCACCGCCGGCGCTCGTTCGCTTTGCTCCTTTCGGAGGCATGGACCCAGCCTGGCACGAAGGAGCTGTCGGGTTCCACGGAGGTGGATTTGAATGGATTGGGTTTTGACCCCCCTGATCTTTGTTGTTTTCAATGGCTGTTGAAACTGGGTCGCTGCCAGTGTTTTCTTGATAGCCATAAAAAGTATATAATTTTCACCTGTTGCCCAGTCTTTGCAACCGATCAAGGCATTCATTGCTATCCATTTCTCTGGAAAAAAATTAAGCTTGTTGCGGAGAACCTATTTAATAATCCAGTGCTCAAACCTTGGACATTTGACAAAAATGGCTCCCAAATACCACCATTCTGAAATCAATGTTTAAAGGGAATCACTTTCTCGGAAGCAAAACTGATGAAACAACCCCCATTCCAAATAAAGCACGGGGTCCCAAATGTCACAGCCCCGGGTGTTGAAATCTTGTGACCATCCTCATTCCCCAAAATCCCACACAGGGTTTTGTGACGAATCCCATTCTCCAAAATAGATTTTGTGACGAATCCCATTCCCCAAGCAATGTTTTGTGACGAATCTGATTCCCCAAAATAGCTATTGTGACGAATCCCGTTTCTCAAACAGGGTTTTGTGACGAATCCCATTCCCCAAAATAGATTTTGTGACGAATCCCATTTCCCAAAATAGCTTTTGTGACGAATCCCATTTCTCAAACAGGGTTTTGTGACGAATCCAGTTTTTGAAACCCTAGTTTGTGCCGAGTTTGGATGGGATTCTTCACAAACCCCCTTGGTGCCATTGAGGGTTTGTGACTACAAATCATTTGGCCAAGAACCGTTCGTGAGGCAGGAATTATTCACAAGCAAACCCCTCACCGGAAAAGCTATGTTTGTGCCGACTTAGGCTCTCGCTAAGCACAAAACCACATAAGCTGAACTAGCACCCAAATATTCTATCCCAAAAATTTTGGGGATAGCTCCGAAGTAGCTAAACAGGATGGGTTTTGTGCCGTCCCAGACCCTTGCTAAGCACAAACAGCACCACTGCGAAAGCTGACCCTTTTGTGACGAATATTGCCATCACAAACGGAATCTGCCAAATCTCCAGCCCTGCACAAAAGCTATAGGCCTGGTTGCCTTTGCATTTTGTAGCAATGCAAGGTCAGTCACAAAATGGTGTCAAAGCAAAAGCACGCTTCACAAATCGAAGGTTTATTTTCAGCTTGTATCACAAATAGGTGTCGAAGTCAAAATGCCTTTCACAAATTCCACATTTTCTCACCTTGTGACTCCTGACGCTGCACTCCCCCCAGTGGGCCAGACTACCCCCCTGATTCGGCAACAGCTTCTCTAAGAATTTTCAAAGCAGTGTTCATCTCAACACCGTGACTCCACAGTTTTGCGGCAGAGCGGTGAAGCACTTGAGCGTTCCTAGCCCGCTGGAAGCGGGCAACCTCTTCTCGCGGTGGGCGATCAACAACCAATCGCAATTGGTTTGGAGCCTTGATGGAAAGAGAGTAAGTCCGATGTTGGGCTCTCTTGATAGCAATGTAGGCTGTGATAAATTGTGTGATGATGTTGTCCAAGACTTTGGTTGGCATGAACCCTTCCAACTCTTAGCCCCGCACAGCTTCCAAGTTTCTTCCACGAACTGGCTCACGACCGATAGCCCCTTGTCCAACGGCTGGCCCAACGGCCGGGAGTGCCCTCAGAGGGTTTGGACAAGAATGCTGGTGGTATTAAATGGGTTGAAAGTCAAACTGAGACATGGACCAGCTCACATCAACGAATGGGTCATCGAAGATCCCGTTGGCCACCTTCTCCAAAGCATTGGCAGCTGAGTGCATCTCGAACGGTTCTTGGCCTAAGGATGTAAGAGTTGAAAATTAATGGGATAACACACGGGAAGGCATTGAGGCATAGGCGCATCAGGGTAGCATACTTCAGGATCGCTTGGTTCTCTTTGTCGTTGAATGGCTTTTCCAAAAAGACTGCCAGGGCACAAGCAATGAACTAAAGTATGGGTTTTCCTTTTTATGTTCTAATTCTAATGACCATCCTAGCCCAGAAAAAACATTAACAGCTTAGAGGTTGTCAGTGGGCCACGGTCACCACACGATTTCACGGCACCAACCAGGACCAGCCTGGTGGAGCATCCCCTGCTGCAGCTTCAGCAACGGAGGCTGGGAGGAAGAGAATGGGCGTGGGATCCCATTGGTCGTCGGACAGCCACCGTTTTGTCCTATAAGGGTCAGCTCAAATTGGATCCCACCAATTAAATGAAATTCCTATTCGCAGTGGGTTCACCCAATTTTGAAACAGCGTGTTTCCCACATGTCCTCATGACTACATCTCCACCTTTGAGATCAAAGCGACGGGATGACCAGAATCTCACATCCACGGTTCGGGGATCAACTCCTCACAGGGTTAGCTACTGCAAAGTAAGCCATATTCATAGTAAAAACCATGTTGCCCCAACATTACAACTATTCAACATTGTTTTCAATCTATGGCTATCACTTTGGAGTCCTGAATCCTCCAACCTTTCCAGTCGAAAGGCATGGGGGGCACCGGGCCCGCCTATTCCTTTCACATGGCCGTGCTGCATGTAGCGCCCCCAAAAATTTTTCCTTACAGGGCTGAAGTGTTCAAAGACATTGGATTGGGATCAGATCATCCCACTACCTTTGAGGGAATGTCATTTGCATTTGCCATGGAAAGAGACCTGCAAACATCACCCAAATGCATTTTTGGGGGGACCCCTGGCGCCAACATAACCCACTTTCAATTGGGGGATTTTCCGTCTAAACCACCCGGGGCTTCGGGGGTGTTTTTTGGGGCTTAAAGACGCAGACATAAATCACACTCTGAGACTCACATTCTAAAAGCCGGAATGTGTAATCCGATGTTGTCTTACCAAGCAGTTCCAAACAGTATCCCAAAGATGTCCATCAAATCCCAACAAAGCAATCCAATCCCCAATGCTAAATATGTGCCTTAGGACCAAAAGGGACAGACCGAAAATATTACAGTATTAGGGGGATGGGACGAACATACAAACCCAAAACTAAACCCTTTTCCAATACAGCTGGGACTCCAGTCACGGAACCTATCCATCCGGATGACTTTCCGTATTTTCTCATGCGGGCGGTGGGACGGGTCATCGAAATAGTGTTGCAAGCAAGACTGAAAACTTTCGGGATCCCACAGCTCATCATGCCTTGCCAACCAAGCCCGCAAATTTGAGAACATACCATCGATGTCCTCGTGGCTGTGCCCCGAAGATAAAAAGGATAATTGGCATCCTCTGAGTTTTTTCAAAGCAATCTGAAAGGCAAAATGCCTTAGGAGGCAATTGTTTTTGCACTCTTTGCTGCAGTTGTCTGCTTGGACATGTAGCATAATTTGTCGGAAGTCCACCCTTCGTTCAATGGACAAAGTAGTAAGGGCAGAACTCAAAATTTCAGCAGTTCTTGAGCTGTTGGTGGAAATACAATGTTGTGTCAAAACTGTCAACGCCATATGCCCATGTACCAGCACAGAAGTACATGCCATTCTGGGCCGTGCCCAGTTGCAAAACTCTTTAGACAGCATGGTTTTGCTTTTCGGCCAGCTGTATTTCGCCATGTCCATGGAATCAAGTATAGCGCAAATCTCTTGAGGGCATGGGTTGACTGAATCCAGTCGACTTTGGGACCTGTGGTACCAATACACTCGGCGATCTGCAAGTTGCCTTGCTAAATGCTTTTGCAGTTCATCATATTGTGCACGGCGTGCGGGACCGCAGTGTCCCAGTTTTTTTATAATCAGGCGGTGTCTCACGCATTGAGCACATTTAGCGTGGTGGGTCTGGAATCGAATCCGGAGCCGGTCTGAAAATTCCCGCTGCCACACCTAGTCAGGATGGCAGCCCAGGGATGAAAATGGCTGAGTTCTCATGGGGGTCAACCAAAAAGTAAGAAAACCACGTGACTCCATGTAGGAAAAAATGCATAATGTCAAGCACGGCACAGAGCAAAACAACTTTCGGCTAATGGAATCATCTTTCACTGCAGCTTGACATTGTTTATGATACTCATTGATTGACCCTGACGGCAAATGCTTGATTCTTGTACGGTCCATGTTGGGATTGTCAATTTTGAACTTCCCCTGTCGAGGACGCTTGTTGGAATTTAATCCATCTGGAATCACTTCGGCCACGTTTGTGTACATCTCCATCAAATAGTCATACACTTTGGTCCATTTCGGGCTGGGTTTTTTTGGAGTCCTGGGGAGGTACCTCAAATCGAAAGGGCAATAAGCATCCCCCCTTCGCACAGCTTGGCCAATAACAGAAAATCTATGTTTTCCAATCCCCATCATCTTCATGTACCCGTTGTGGCACACCAGTTGGCCACAGATCTGCAAATATCTGGATCCCCGGCAGGCATCTTCGGTGGACTTGGACATCATCTTGAAGACCTCACGGCGCGGGGCTGAAAGAGGGGAAGCACAGGCTTAGAAAGAATATCTTTTTTTGTGGAAATTGGATCATTGTAGAAACTTCGGAAGACAAGAAGAAACAGAAAACACAAAAAAGACCATATCAGCTGAACATGTGACATGTTGATCTTTCTCAAGCTTGGTCATCTTTGACATCAGTCGGCGAAGTTTGGCCCACTCTTCAAACAGTTGTATGGACCCATGAAACGGATGAAAACATTTGCATCCACATCCGCATTTGGATGAAATCAGATGACGAAGCCTTGTAAGATCTACAGTGTTCTCGTAGGGGACAACCTTCTTCCTTTTGAAGCGAGGAAGTCTTCGGTATCTAACCTTTTCCTCCTTCGGCTTTGGCTGGCACCGGTCATTGCACCTCTCCTCATCGCTGAGGTCTTCAACTGCTGCCAGTGGCATAGCCCGGGGAGCCTCAGGAAAGCCGGGCTGACAAGTGGTATGAGTTCAAAAAGAGCAGAATGAATAGTGAGAATAAATGGGGAAAATAAATGGGGAAAAAAAGGGTTCAACTGCTTTGGAGTTGTCCCTATTTATCGTGAAAACATTCTGAAAACAATGGGACGTGGTGAGAAAAGGTTGATTAAAAATGATGGGCTTTGGGTTGGGCAATGGATCTTCCGGTAGTTGACTTGGGGAAATTCCCTATGTCCACGGGTTTGAATATATATATATAATTGCGAGAATATTCAAAAGAATAATAATCATCATAATCATCATCATAAGAAAATATAGAAAATATCTAATACTACGTATAAAATACATATATAAATAAATAGTAATAATACATATATAAACATTGAATACCTATTATTAATACTGCTATTAATATGTTGTAGTTTTATTCTGATTGTTCTTGAATATATGTGTATATATATATAAACCAATAATTACAATATATATATATATATATTTATATATACACATACATTTAAAACATAAATATATATATATGTATACATTGTGTTATGTTCAATCATAAACCATCACCAAGTGTGGCTCCAGAATAGCGCATCAATTTTGCTTACAATATTTGTTAAACCCACATCGGATGATGATAGGGACGGTTCATTCCTGGGATTTCCTCAAACAATGGTTTATTGGAAGAAAACCTGTCACCCAGTGCCACTAACCCAATCTTGTTGCTTTTGGATCCATCAGTATCAAATAATCTGCGCTAGCATGGATTGAATTGATTCTAATGGATTCAAGAGCAACAAGATTCGCAACCCCATGCCAATTTCACTTCGGCTGGGCTTCGAACATGAGGCCACAATGGATCCAGTTTGGATTGGAGAAGGCAGGTCCTGGAATGAGAACACGCTTGCTGAATCATTAGTTTGACAAATTCACAAGTCCGATTCACTGTTTGGTAAAATGGTATAGCTCCCACAAAAAAAAGGGTTTGAATGTCTCCTGCTTCAAGCACTCAAAGTGTTCCAAGCCTCAGGGATTGCAGGGTGATTCAGGGATTGTAGGATGATGTCTTGGGTTGTGGCAATTGTTTCAATGTGGTATGGGAAAACTTTTTTGAACAAACCTACCAATGTTTTTGCCAATCACCGCTGAGCCCCCCAACATGGAGGCGACGAGAGATGGCACGCCACTTTGGCCGAAAGAGGAGACCATGGAGCCAGGGCTGGTCTAAACACATGCTGTGGGAAAAAGATATTCTTTTTGACCCTCGGATGGAAGTTGGCTGGCTTCTCTTGTAGGCTTTGATTTTGGATTGGAATAAATGCATGTTTGCCATTGTTTTGGGACTCTTGTATTTCTGTCTTGGAAATTGGACCCAAAGAAAATTGCAGACTCATGCTGCGTTCTCTCAACTGTGGATGTAGACTGCCAAAATCATTGAAACACTATTGGGTGGATTGAGCCTAAATTCTGAAACATCCAGTCTATCCCATGCACAAGACTTGACGCCCCTGGCTGTGGGTCTCTTGCGAAACAGGACGGGACCACCGCTTCGAAGAAGAGAGTCTTCCGGTTGGTGCCCCCAATGGCTGAGGGTTGAGCCGCTGGTTCACACAGTGAAGGGGTGAAAGAGAATTTTTGTTGCAATTTTTTCTCAAATAGGGCAGGCAACACACTTATCGGCTTGAAACTGCTTTGGTGGGCTGAAACAGTTTTCTTCATCCCATGTTTTGTCGGCACCCTGCAGATGAAATCCTGCCGCAGGGAAAACATAATTAGACCCAGATTGCCCGAGCCAAGTGCAAAAGCAAGTTCCTAATTGGGAATTTCCCAGAACCAAATTTCAAATTTGACGGTTCATATCAAACCGAATGAAAACATCCATGTGCAGTGGCCGTGGTAGGATCCCTTTAGGCCTTCCACATACTTGCAAGCAGGTTTGCTGCAAGGTATCCCATCTGTGGAACCACTATGTTTCCAATCACTTCAAGTCTAGACTTGTCTGTCTCCGTAAACTTGGGCGACAACCAGTCGGCCAACTCAGGCTTGTTGGAGAGAGGCATCCATGGGCGAGCAGGCATCTCCTTGATCTCAGTGTGGCTGAGCATGGTCTTGCCCTGGCCGCAGTGGCTGCTTGACCACTAAAGAGATCTGAGGGATATTTGTAGATTCATCCAGTGGGATTTCAAATGGATATCGATGTATGCTATTATAAAGAAATACATCCGGTATATGTTTATGATGTGTATTAACATGTACATGTTTACATGTACATGGTTATACCATACAAAAAGAAATGGGATCTTATATAAATATATGAAAATATAGTGCATGAAAGAATGTGTGTGACCTATATATATATATATGTAAGAATATGACATCGACTATGACATAAGCATATTCCCCTGCAACCCCATCAGAAAATAACCGGACCCACTTTAGTTTTCATATGTAATTCTTTGGTTGGGTGTTCAATGGAAAAGTCTCAATATAGAGGTGCCCGAAACTTAAACTGATAGCCTGAAATAATATATATATATGAAGCTTTGGTTACCCCTATTTTTTCCCAAATTGAGACATGGTAAAAATCTGGTCAAGTACAAGCAACTATCTTGGGGTAAATTACTTGCTTGTACCTAGATATGGAGCAATGCTCAACCCAGACTTTATGATGACAGTGTTTTCTTCAGAAAACCATTGAATTGGCCTGGAACAGGTCGAAGTTTGGTTTGGCCATCAAAAAGAAGACCCGCTCTCTCCAAATCTTAGCTGGAAAAGGGCATTGAAAATGGTTGAAATAGCCTTCTCTTTTGACACCATTTGGTTGACTGAGTAATCCACGTGAGCTCCAGCCATCTTGCCATTGATCGTGGCAAAGGCAACTTTCAATCCTCGCTTCTGGGCTTCCTGCATATCCCCGGATGCAGACAGACGCCAGACCGGGGTGGCAAAAGGATCAAGTGTATTTGTGTACATGTGTGTGCTCAATTTTCCTGGAGGAGGTATTCAAGCAGACCCCGAAGCTTCTCAGTCAAGATCGCACTGACATTTTCCAACAGGATAAATTTCCTGAGCTGGCAGTGTGGACAGCTTTTGTTTTTTTTTCAAATTTCACATGGACACTGAAAAAATGGAAGTGGTGCACACTGTTGGTTTGAAACATAAAAACCAAGAGTCGGGTCATACCCTTGTTCCACCTGTTCATCCCATAGGCGCCACACATGAGATACTAAACCGCTGCGCGAATCAGCCAATCCAAGGCCCGCCCCAGCACGGGACACCCCTTGACAGGGGAAGCCCCCTAGAAATCCATCCACTGGCTCCTTGATGTGACAGCTGGCCACATCGGGGAAAATCTGTCCATCGTCCGCCAGGCCTTCCGAGATCCTTTGGCGAATCAAGGCCTGGCAGAACTCGGACTTCTCAACCTCGGAGATGGGAAAAGAATGGACTGGAATGGTTAAAAGGTGAAAAACTCACATGCCAGTAAGATTCCATACCAAATTTCTTTTTGTCGAAGCATATGAAATTTAAGCCACTGACGTAGACATGGCATTGCATCAGCCTTGGGGGGCGACTGATAGATATTGGTAGTTGGGCCTTGGAATGCCAAAAAAAACACACCACTGGGAACTAATGACTGAGCCTGTAACGGTCGGAAGGCCAGGTCCAGGCCAAGCACCCCACTAAACAGGGAAGCCACCCGGTACTTCGGTGACACGGTGTCCTGGAGTTGCTGTACATACTGTTTGTTTCAAGTGTTTGTTTCAAACATGCACACAAAAAAATATTGTTTAGCATGCCATATTCCTGATCCATCCAAGGGTAAATCTGATTCAGGTAATCCACGACTCCCATAGGATCGGGCGATGTCCAGCCCCGAGGTAGGCCTGCTGTAACTGCAATCAACTTGAAGCTATACTTGAATTTCATGATTCATGGTAAAAACACACACACATATATATATATATATTATACACCTAATCCCATACCTGGCCTGCCATGTATTCGCCAATCTCCGGAGAAGCATAAAGCCCCTTTGGCTTCCGGGCCAACTTGCATGCAGCGGTGTAATCCTTCCACCAATAGACTTGGTTGGCGAAATCCTGCACAATTTGTTTCATCAATGATGATGGTGATAAATATTAATCTGAAAGCAACAAGTCTGATTCTGATCATGGTTTTAAACAAATGTTTTCAAAGACCATAACTGGGTAAAGCACTCCACTGCCACGCTGACTCAAATAGTGTGGGTTGGCCCGCTGCGTGGCCCCAAAACATCCTGCAAAGCTGGCAGGAACGAAACTGGCAAGAAGTTTTCCGTGGGGGATCCAACATCAGGATTGAGGCCCGGGCGGATTGTTCCCCAAGATTTCAGGGTGACCGGCTTGTTGAGGAGCTTCCCCGACTTGGGGGTTTTGGAATCCTTTTTGGGCTTTGGAGGTACCTGGGAGCATGAACAATGTCAGTGTTTATCATAAGATGGGCATGTTCAATCTTTGGTTTCTAAACAAATAAAAAGCTCTTTTGCAATCAAAGGGCCAAGACGACATTCAAATCTTTGGGATTGCTCTGGGGAAAAAATGCTGGCTTGAACTCGGTCAGCATTCCCTTATCGAAGATGCCGCATTTTGGCAATTTGGCCTTCCCACAGTCCGCAATCAGGAATGTAAAATCAAGAACAAATTCACTAAACTAGTCATGTACCATCCACAATAAGTTGGCCTGCAGCTTGAAGTCATGCCTGAGAAAATCCGGTTTGAATTTGACAATCAAAATTTCATTGTTGACCACATTGAGGGCATGACGTTGTGGCTTCCTTCTCATCACCAGGCTGGCCGGCCATTTCAGAACTCAGAAGCGAGCCGAGGCTTTTGGGGAAAGTGACTTAGCGAGGTGGTGCCAAAATGAAAATATGGAAAGATATCAAAATTGGGTTCCTGACTCACTCAAAGAAGCCACTTCGGCGAGCAATGGCATGGCGGTCGATTAGATTGGTATATAGGTTTTACAGAAATTAATGCATCCCATGACACTATGAAAGGATTTATGTGCTGTTTCTGGTTTTCCTAGTCCTACGCATGTTTTCATTCTGACTCACCACTTGGGGCTTCGCTACCCGTCCTGAGCCACACTAGACCCTGGGGAAACATGCTACCACCAAAAGATTTGAAACAAATGTGCCAAGACATTGAGCTGGTTCGGGCCCCACTCAACAATATCCTTTGTCTCATGCCACAAGCCCCAAAGCTTCTCAACAGTGAACCAGGGCTTGGTTTGCTTCGAAACCAAAGTGGTTCTCAAACAGCCCCCTTCTGGGAAATGAGATCCGGATTGAAAAGTTGAGTTAGATTTATTGTTTTGGAATACATGAAATTCTATGAGACTTCTCAAACACTTTGGAACTCAACATCCGGCACTCCAGCCCGAAACCCCGACAACATCTCAGCCATCCCCGAACTGCGCAGGTGAAATCTTCACCTGAAGCGGCAATGAACCGGCCGCGGATGTTCTTTGGGCCACTGAGGAGATCACATGGTGTAAACTGTGATGAGATGTGATGTAAACTTTCCTAATTTGCCTGGTGTGGTTTCCTGTGATACTTTTGTGAAAACAATGCTGTTCTAAAGGTGCCTGGCCTTATCACTCTTGGTCTAACTGTTTCACCAATCAGCTGCGACCTCGGAGTGGCCGGCCAAGGGGGAATTGTGTTTGCAACAAGGATTAAAAATCAATAATTACACATGTCAGGTGATCAAAAAGTGTTTGCATTGGCCGGCAACTCGACTCAGTAGCTCCAGAACTCCAGAACTCTTAGACTCCGGCTGGGAAACGCCGAAGAAGTAGCAGCCATTTTTTGAAGTGGCAACCCCCATGACAGCTAAACGCATTCAAGATCGAAAGGACAAGTTGTTCAAAAATTTTACATCAAGAAGGGCATTTTCATCCCTCAGCTGTTCAACGGCTTCATCGCAAGCATTGAAAACTGCTTTCAGGATGTCCTTGGGGCACTTAACATCCTTCATGTCCTCGATGTAGGAAGCTACCTCGAAGGTGTCCCAACATCAACGGAAGTGGATATCAGAAATGGAGTTTCCCGCTGGGAGTAGAACTGTGCGAAGGACGGTAGATGCGAAAGACTTTTCCATTGCCACCTGAGCAATTGAAGTTGAATCCTGAATCAAAACTACTTCGCTAGGTATTGAAATCTGAAGACTTGAGGACAAGGCTGCCATCATCTGAATGTCGGAATAGCCCTCGTAACTGTCGGTCTCGGAGTCATCATGGGCCACCTGCAGCAGTCTCAAAACCGATGATTTGTGTGTTTGTACTTGGGGAAGACCACAGAGCCGATTTCTGTTCAATTGTAAATTTGCTGGAAACATATGATCAATTTGTTTGAAATAAGGGAATACACCAAAATGGGGTTAGTAATTGTACAGGGGTCTAACTTTCTAACCGGTAATTTCTGGGGTACCTCATTTTCACACAAGCCTTGTTGTAGCCAATGTTTGAAGTTGTCAAAACATCCAACTGCTGGCCAAGTCCGCCTCTGGTGACATGGAATGGCCAAAGGCCTGAAGCGCTGCACGTTGAGGATCTACTGCCATCGAGCGAGGAAAAATCAATTGAGGGCAGAACTCTGCGAGTTGGGTTCTGAATCTCGTTTAGGATCTTGATGGTCTCTGGGGTCCATTCAAAGGCATCCTGCAGCGACGGCAGGATGCAGATACCAAATTAAGTGAACAAATTCGCTGCACAGATAAGTCTCCTGGTGCCGAAGGCTCCCAACCTTTGCCCAGGTGAAGATGGATTAAATATTAGTCCCCCTCTACGGTATAAATGTAATATCAAAATAAAAGTATATATGAGCTGGGTATATTAATGCAGATTTTAGTCATATGGATGTCTAAAATAAGAACTTCCTGGGGCATTTGTTTGACTGGGTTTTTCAAATTCGAGGTTTGGACTTTTCTTTCTGGTGTTCGGCTTCGAGAAGAAAGATCCTGACAAAATCATCAACTGACATTGAACTGGTGATAACATCACAAAGAGTTTGAACATTTTTGGGAACACTTACTGATCTGTCCTTGTTGTTCATATGGGGCATCACCAAACCTGATGGATTGCGGTAAGTAAATTTGATTACTATGTATCTTGCACACCCTGGGCTGCAGACCCAGCTGCCAACCAAGAGAGGGTTTTGTCGATGTTGCCTTCAGGTGATTGGGGGTTTTAAGGTGGACCAGGTCAACTAAGTAGGTAAAATAATGAGCACAATATGTAACTTCAAACAGTATGAAATATCGGAAAGCCGGGCCTCTTTCCACAATTTGGTGGTAACCATGGGCCAAATAAAGTTTGTGATTCAACGAGCAAACGGCCGCGGTGCAGCGGTGCGGGCAGGATTTCCCTGGGCAACCCCTCTGTGACAATCCAAGAACCTTGGGGTAAGAATCTATATGTAGCAAGTGTCTACATAGATGAACTATATTTGTGTTTTATGTTCATAATATATCTATCTATCTATCTATCTATCTATCTATCTGTCTATCTATATACTAACTTTTGTTGTATCTACGTGCCTAATTTATCACATATACACTACATGTAGTATAGGTTAGGCACGAACAACACGTGCCATGGCCAGTAGCTTTTTTGGTGTTTTTCTCAAAGGCGAAGTTCGCATGCACTTCGAATTCAAGCCCCAAAGGGCCATGCCTGCTCAGCAAACATAGTTGTTGCTGCAACAAGGCGCAATCTGCTCAGCAAACATAGTTGTTGTTGAGCATCTGTCGCAGTGCAAGAAGGCACAATCTGCTCAGCAAACATAGTTGTTGTGGGGCAACAATGCCAGCGCAGATCCACACCACTTGTGATAGCGCCATAACAAACATAGCTGTAGCCACTATAGTCAAGCAATGCATCCCACTGGAAAGGGATATGCCATCTTCTGGCTTTAAAAGCCAAAACCCTAGATACCAAACAAACCCCCAGACAGGAGGAACAGAAAATTTGTGTGCTTCCTACAATGGCAGCCCCGTGCTGGTGCATAGGCTGCACTGCAAGTGCACATGAGAGAGAGCTCCCTGGTAGGTCCGGAAGGGCTGCCGAGCAGGTGGATGATCCCTCGTCGGACGAAGAACAAGCCACCACTGCAAGTGAAACTGAGGCTGAAAGTGAAGAAGATGACGAGAATACACCCCCTGAGGAACCATGGTGCCCGCCAACCCCACCGGCCATGAACGACCCTCCGGAACAAGAAATCAAGGGTGCTGCGGACAGTTAGCCACTATGATCAGCAGTTCACAGCCCAGTGCCAGTGTTTTCTACCAACCTGATAACCTTCGAGCCCTTCCACATCTATGGCTGCAAGCTAAGCTCACCATCTCCCTGACTTCAGTGCAGGAAAAGTTTGCTCGCCTTTTCACGACGATTGCGTCAGAACTATGGCTGCGGGGCGTGATTGAGAGAGTTGAGGAGGTCTTTGCTCAGGCGGCCCGGAGTTTTACTCTCCGGCTGGGTATCCTCGGGCGAGTTCTGAAAAGCAGTCAGCTGCCTGAAATTCCTCGTCCAAGGCCAAGCTCAATCCTGGAGCATTCTTGTCAGTAAATTTAACTGCCTGCAAGACTTGATCAGCGACATCTCGCTGCAGTCCCTCAAATGCTCGGTGGGGGCAGGAAAAGGAAACCTCCTGTGGAGCTTGAGTGTTACCGCCAGCTTCTTCGACAAAACACGGCGCGATCTTGCTGGCCCAACTCGCCGGAAACCACGCCAGTAAGGCCGTAGTACCACTAACCAGGTCGACCCCAGTGTGACGCCGCGAGTGGGGCTGGTTCGTGACGACAACTTTGACAGGGCCACTGGGAGCACGTTTCCGATTGACCTCTGCACTCTCTCTGGCTGCGACAATGAGCTCAGAGAGGATTGGACGGACCAGAAAGTAGCATATAACAGGCACTCCGTCTCTGGGGTGGCCAGGGACTCTGCTCTTCGAGTGAGAGAGCAGATGTACTTCGAGAGCGTTTCGGGGCATTCGAGGCGCTCCAAGGCTTACCGAGGCTTGCCCGAGGCACGAGGACAAAGCGAGGCTCACGGGGACTCG